TCCCTCAGCTCTTCAGCTCAAGGCGAGCGTTCTACCACTTGAGCTACAGCGCCACTTCCGGTTTTCTGGTGGTTTATTGGAGATAGGAGTCTCAAGTTCTCTCCTGCCCGGGCTGGCTTTGAACAGCAATCCTCAGATCTCAGCCTCCTGAGTAGCTAGGATTATAGGCGTGAGCCACCAGCGCCGGCGTGTACTTGACCTTTTCTGATCAAAGTTAGTGTAATACCACTTGAACAACTCCAGTTCTGATTTTTTTGCTGGTTATCTGGAGAGAGAATCTCATGGACTTTCTAGTCAATCTGGCTTTATACTATGATTCTCAGATCTCAGCCTCCAAAATAGGTAGGATTACAGTTCACCATACTCTGTTAATTAGGTGTTTTGTAAGGTAACTTTTTGTTGGTTGGATCTGGACACATTCTAATTGGTCGTTAATTCCTCATCAGGTTATTTGCAAATGCCTCTGGGTAATCAGGAAGTTGGAATTTGAGGAACTAGAAGTATCTGGGGAGGGGCAGAGGCAGGATGTTTGGAAATAACATTTTTTTTTTTAATCTTTGCCTGTGGGTACTTCAGGCCATGTCAGGGGCTCTATGCTGTAATTAATGTACCTTTTTTTTTTTTTTTTTTAAAGGAAGAGACAGGGAAGTTCTTCCCTAGAGACTTCAAAGTGGGCTGGCTGTTTGGCCACTTGATTCCAGATTTGTAGTCTTTGCAACTTGTGAGAGAACCAATTTCTGTTGGGTGAATTTACCGATTTGTCAGCTCTGTTACAGTAGCTGGTTTCTGGTCCACAGAAGAAAGTGTGGGTAACATGTTAATCTTGGAAGTGTTTCCATAGAAAGAAAAATAATAGTTTTCCTTTACCCCCCAAACAAAGGAATGTTCAAATACATTTAATCATCTTCAAAAAGATCAGTTTTTAACAATTTATTTTATATTAATAATCAGTATGAATCAGTATTAGTATTGTAGAATAGTTGTTGTTCCAAATAGGCCCCACAAGGCAAAATGATTCAAATAAAATATAGCTCACTTATAATAATAAAAATATTAACTGAGAAGGGAGCTGTGGCTCAAAGTGGTAGAGTACTAGCCTTGAGCAAAAGAGCTCAGGGATAGTACCCAGACCCTGAGTTCAAGCCCCATGACCAGGAAGCCGGGAGGGGGACCTTGGGCGCAACATACAAGCATCCCAATGGAAGCTAAAAAGGTACAGGACAGTTTTGTGAATTCCTCCCTTCCTCTCTCTTCTTTCATTTCTTTCTTTTTTTGAGATGGAGTCACACTAAATAAGCTCAGACTGGCTAGGTTCTGGAGAACATTCTGCTTCATCTCCCCCACCAGAATACTAGGATTCCAAGGTTGAGCACAATGCTCTTTTTTTTTTTGACCAGTCATAAGGCTTGAACTCAGGGCCTGGTCACTATCTCTGAGCTTATTTTGCTCAAGTCTAGCACTCTACCACTTGTGCCACAGCGCCACATCCAGCTTTTTTTTTTCCTGTTTATGTGGTACAAAGGAATCGAACCCAGGGCTTTATGCATGCAAGGCAAGCACTCGACCACTGGGCCACATTCCCAGCCCAATGCCCGGTTTTTGACTAATTATTGGGAATACTCTCTTGGAACTCTGTTACGACAATCATGTACAAAAATCCTATGTGCACCTGTGGCATGTACACCTGAGTGTGCCAGCCAACCCAACTCCCAGAGCCAGTCACCCCCCAGAGTTCCCCCACAGCCACAAACGCTCAAGAAGAGGACTCCCAGCCTCAGTGATCAGCCACTATACTCAACCCGAGATCCTCCCAGCCTGGGCCACTGGATCTGAGCTGGGGCCGGGGGCTTTGTCCCGCAGCTCTCCCTGGCCCAGTGAAACACAGCTCCAGCTGTTGAGTGACAGGGAAAAAGCTCACCTGAGGAACCCACCAAGGCGACATGGGCTGGAGGAATGGCATGGCCCATGCAATTTCCCCCCTAACAACTCCAAACCATGTGCAAAGATCCCACTGCTGAGAAAACAAATGTTAAGACTCACTAGAAATTAACTTTGGCTCTGAGGAACGCGTGGTGTCTTTCGTTCTTTGCATTTACAATACTTTACTATGAGCAGTCATGGATGTTAACACTAAGACACATCTTCCATACAGCGTCGTGCCAGGCCCGACTCTTAGGACCCCTAAGGCACCCACCTCGCTTCCCCAGGCCTACGACCTGGCGCCTCTGGTTGCCAATTCCGGGTATCCAAAGTCCAGACCCAGCGGTCACACCCTGGCCACGCCCTCCCCCGCCCATTTCCGGCCACGTCTCCCCGCCCACCTCGCGTCTGAGGATCCCCGGGCTCGGCCTGGCTCCAACCAGCTCGTTTTCCGCGATCGCCGTCCCCTCTTCCTGCGCTACCCTCGGCCTTCCGCGGCGTGTTTTGTTTGCGACGCTGTCGCAATTACAGCGCGCTTTACGGCCGGGGCGACGGAGCGAGCGGGCGCCAGGGCCGCTCGGGCCGGGAAGCAGGGCCGGCAGGCCAAGTGGATGCCCGGTGGCGGGGCCAGCGCCACGTCAGGCCGGCTTCTCCTCAGCGCGGAGCAGAAGGGGTCCCGGGAAGCGGCAGCGGCGTTCCGCAACGGCCCGGGGGGCTCGGGCGGCGGAGGCCCCGCGGGCAGGATGAGCCTGAGCCCGAAGGAGCTGTCGAGCCTGCTGAGCATCATCTCGGAGGAGGCGGGCGGCGGCAGCACGTTCGAGGGCCTGTCCACCGCCTTCCACCACTACTTCAGCAAGGCCGACCACTTCCGCCTGGGCTCGGTGCTGGTGATGCTGCTGCAGCAGCCGGACCTGCTGCCCAGCGCGGCGCAGCGCCTCACCGCGCTCTACCTGCTCTGGGAGATGTACCGCACCGAGCCGCTCGCCGCCAACCCCTTCGCCGCCAGCTTCGCGCACCTGCTCAACCCCGCTCCGCCCGCCCGCGGCGGCCAGGAGCCCGACCGCCCGCCGCTCTCAGGTAG